ATGCTGAACAAGGGCGTTCATGCGTTGAAGTCGCCTGCGAATAGGCTGGGTAGGAACGGAATCTATTCACATCTTCCACAACAGATGGATAGGGATGTCCGTTCGGAGTGTACATATCAGGATCGGCTAAAATAGATGATGTAGAACGGAGGATGACAGCAATGCAATGACTCGAAACACAGTGAAACAACGAGTAGTACGGTAGGCAGTAATTCCACGTAATATCGATGACATCACGCAACAGAACGGCGGTCAGCTCTGCGTTCATCCGTTGAAGTGTCATTATTCTGCCTGTGGGTGGCAGTGATAATGCCCAGTGCCTTCGTGTACACATCATGAAATCAGACATCAATCAGTGTTGCTGGTCTTAACAGGCATGCCAGAAAGTATGTCCCGACCAAAACCGATTTTGTACCTAGCTAGCCGAAAGGGGATTTATTTCCATCAGTAATGATGATACCGTCCTGTCACTCACTAAGTGTGTCAAGAAATCCATCAATAAATGAAAAAATATTGAAAATATGCCCGTTTGAGTCCGTTGAACCTGTTATTTTTTCGCAGCGCGGAAATGTTGGAGCACTTGAATCTTGTGGACGTGTCGGGTGGCCGCACTAAGCCGAAGGACTGTTTGAGTAGGTCCGATGCGCTCTCAATTGAATCTGAAGTCACATGAGCTAGCGTAATGGAAAAATTACTGACCCTCACCACCATCATTATCGTCACCGAAAACAATACGTCAGTAAACAGTGTTTCTTAACTGCCACTGTGACAAGAATATATGTTCGCCGATTTCATGCTTGGTAGGGTGTTCAAACCCAGAGAGGTTGATTCGGGTGATCAATCAGGGTCGTTGGATCAGAAGTGTGAGAGCAAGACAATGCTAATTGACCATATGCTGGCAGAGTTGTCCAAACTTTAAGGAACAAGCAGCTACACTTGTTCCAACGTCCAAAATGGACACAGGAGATCGCTTATCAAACTAATCTAGCGGAAGGCTCTCTGGATGCTGCATGAGCAGGTGATGGTTACACAAATCGTCACAGGGAGCTAAGATCTCGTTCCTTCGCAACGGATTAGTAGTATTGGTCGATGGTCAATACTCAGAACAGTTATTATCATCACCTCCACGACTTAGTAGACAGAAAATAGGATAATCGTTCAGCTGTAATACCTTTTCGGTACCTATCTGCTATGCCACCCGAAGGAGACACGGGGGTGGGATACTGTCAGCTTGCCCAAGCCTAGACAAGTCAGGATGCAGCCGCACTTCAGGAAGACCAACTAAGGAGTTCGATAGTGTCAAAAGTATCGATCGGCGAAACCTAACAGTCTGATGCATGTGCAGCTTAAAACACCCCTAAAAACCTAGTATTGTGAGCTAATCTATATCACCAAGTCATGTTAATCTAGGAAATTTGTTCCATTTTCCACTCTTCAAATGTTACTGGCACGAGCATACAGTTGTCCCAGGCTGTACGAGGACGATATAACTCATATTGGATCGAACCCTGTAGATATGCAAACAGCCTCAATCCAATAGCCTCAAAAGCTCCACTGCAGGATTCCATAGACAATGGTACAGTTGAAAAACGTTAAGCGCTATGAAAAATTGGTTGGGATGGGAGTCAAACATGACACTTGTAGACGAAACAGTACATATAGCTGATAAATTCATTTTAAGCAACCCAAGCGTTCTGGTCAAATAAATTTCTATTAGCACAGAATTTTGCCAACTTACGTATCCATGGTTTGGACATTATACCGGTCTACTTATCATGCGCAGGTGCACTTCATAACAATATATGACCTGGAAACCTCGATACTCCGAGCATATGTCGGAAAACCTATCTGCGTATCAATGTATCCAAAGTGCTGCTCGGTCGAAACAATGGACTGGTGAGGTTGAAGTAGGCCAGATGGTTTTCAGAAAAATAACGCACGCGACACATGAACCTACGACCTGACCTGATCACGTGCTTTGAGTGCTTTGCACAGTTCTCTCCGCCCAGGTACGAATAGACCAGAAGCTATCTAGAGGTCACATTAGGACCTGCAGCCAAACTAACTGGCCCTTACCGCTCGTGGCCATCACTAGCGGCACACATTACACTCTGGGCAGTCACCCCAACGCACGTTTACCAACAAAACTGGGGGAGATGACGACATGGTACGACTTGTACATGCATTCTCTAGTTGCTGGCGCCATTTTGGCCCAGCAACATCGATCGGCGATCTTTCTGAAGCTCAGAAGGCATCACAACGGTATTTTCATCCCATTATTCCACAGGCTCCAAGAACCCTGGCGATGATAACACAAATTGAAGATATGCATTTCTGTATCGCACGGAGTCACGGGTGATGCCAAAGTCATGTATGGAACCGCCACCAATTTGACACTATCATCTTGGGGAAATACCGTAGTCAATGACAGCCAATCCGTGTTAGGGGAAAGGAACTGAGGTACGTACATGTCTCTTTATTAGAGAAAAAGTGGGATGTCGAACACACAAAAACGTCAGAAAAACAGCCATCCATTTCGCTGCTAAAGCGCTTTCCCAAACAGGAAGCGATCAAGTCAAGAAACACGTTTAACAGCTATGAAGCCGTAATAGAGTGGAATTGCAAACAGAACAGAGAAAAAATAGAACAGATTCTACAACCTAGGCCATGCTTCCTGCATACCAATGGTCGCAAACGGAATCCAGATAAGAGGAAGTTGGAGCCAGTCTGAATTCATCGCAGTGTTGCACACGTGTCGCTCAGTTACCGATAGCGCGCGAACTCGGTGATTTCGACAAACGCGGTGTTCATTATACCAGTCAAAACAAATAGCGTGCAAGAGGTCGTACGACCGAATCCTAAACGCCAACGGTAATAAATGAGGTGTTCTGTATAGTTGAGCGTATCCGCGACCTATCATTTGTTCCCTGTTGAAGGGTCAGTAATCTTCAGAAGCTTTGAACAGCAGTGAACCGCCCTTCGAAGTGTTCGAATATTGAGAGGCACAAATCTAGCACACAATGAGACCCTTGCTGACTGTACATGTAACGAAGGCGGAATTATAGAACTGAAGATTGTTTTTTTAAAAGCCGACTGCCTTCGTGAAGGTTTTCTAACCTGTTGTGAACACGTCAGAAAACGCCACTGTGGACAGACAGAACCCTGCACACGGTCTACTGATTTGCAACCCACATTTATTGTGCACCGATTACGATGGTCTTAATCGGGTAAGCAAAATCATGTACCCCATACTTTCAACGCCCAAAAACAAGGGCAAATAAGAGATGGAAATAGAGATGCTATCAAAGTTCGACACGCATGGTGGAGCAAATTTTGCCTCGGTAGATTGTTTCTAACTACAACGGACCTTTCATGGGTGGTAGAGTTATCGACAGTGCCGTTCAGTTTTCCCAAGAGCGATTTACCATCACAAGACGTTCTGATGTACCTACGGGAAAATGAGCAATGTAGCGTGGCAAGCTTTTACATAAAGTTCGTAAAATTCCTGAGGAATAGCACCCTATTACCTCACAATCTTCAATAAGCTTCACACCGCACAAATAATGGCCGCTACACTGACACGGCCTTCGGATATACAATGATCCCACGGGCAAAATCGACGAACTTTGTTCATCACGGAAGGCAGGAGAGCAACGGTCCGCCACTCTACAACTAATAGTATTGAGGTGGTCCAAAGCTAGCACAACAAGAGTATGAAGGCGGCAAGGGGTTTCCTCTTGACTACCAGCAGCTCAATTTTCCGGGAAGCATCAGTGATGAGTTACAAAAAGGCTGACACTAAAAGCCACGCACTCCGACCTCCCAACAACTGACAATGACTGCCAGTGCATTGAAATACTTTTAGAAATAAAGAGTAATGTTATTCAAAAAGCACCTGTATCATGTGGCAGCATTAGGAACTATGCGATCAGGTCCTACTCCCTCCGCCTTTGGGCTAGGCTGACCATGGTGCAGTCAAATCATTGGCTCCGGGCAACACCCTGCAAGAAAACCTTAGCACTATTGCCTCAAGAATCAGGCTATTGAGTCAGAGACTGGGGTCGGGGTACAAAACCCTCCTTCTTCCACTGTCTTATGGGTCAAGCTTTTGGACCAAAGACTCGAGACTAGATACGTCGGCCATAGTTCATTCGATGTGGACAAATGGAACGTAACACCAGCTCATTCAGTATGAGAATAGCCGAAGCGCGCATGCAAAAATCGGCTAAGGTGGTGCTTACACACGACCCAGTATGGCTCGACTCCCTCGATGATCCAGAAGCGTCACTCTTTGGTCTTAGTGGTATGGGTACTGCTTTGAGTACGAGAGCTGAGGAAGCTCTGCTTGATTGGATCCCTGTGAATATCCAAATGTCGGAGCCCACAGCCGACGACCCTAAGGCCAAAATGTTCCCGTTACCTCCGCATACGCCCCAATAAACTACAGCTATAGTAGTGCCAAAGACACCTTTTACAGAGGATTTCCAGACTTTTCCGGATGGCCAAGTGCAACAGTATCACTGTTCCAGCTAGTGAGTTGAATGCCGAATGGAAACTAATCGACAACTATGAAAGCCGGAATAGATAACGATGAATGCCTCATAGTTCTGTGCTGACCATCATCTGCTTGTCGCAGGCGCAAACATACAACACAGATGTGAGTAGCAAACTAACCTGGATACAGGTTGTCATCATCCGAGCCCCTAGACTCATCACATAGCAGCTATTTGTAGGTGACTGTGTATGCATCGACTCAGGTTATGCTTCAGTTGGTGCCTGTTTTGTAGTTTGTCTCTTTAGAAACAGTGGAAACCGTTCATCGCTACGACACCCACCACTTGCAAGTTGCAATAGTCAAACAGATATCAAAACCAGCTGCTGTCCGGACACCTAAAAACTCGAAACAGACCGGTAAGCCGAACGAAGACTGGTTCGACGTCCACAACTGAATGTGCGCGTCCCAAAACAACCCCACGACCCAGTAACGGTCCACATATCTGATCGAGGTGGGGGCGATCCCACCGGATCGATAGCACCAATCAGTAAGGTTGCTAAAACAACCCGACCCATAGTCCTAGGACTAAGGAGGGATAGTGGCTGAAAAGCCCAAGGAATGGAAAACACGAGGACGGTTGAAAGTTCAATATACCCGCAACGCCGGTCTAAGCAAACTGTTAGCCATCACGGAGGAAAACAGCTCACACTTCTACTTTTGGCCTTGGCTCTCGGTTCAATAGGCGGACTGTTCCAGATAGCAATTTGACTGACCTGAGGTATCCACCTTAACGGTCGATGCACAACCACCCGCACGTGAAATGTAAGCTGTTCCGATTCAGGTCAAGAATTAAATCAGTCTTTTAGGGGGAAGCGAAGCACCCTTCCCTAACTCGCTCTCTTTTGCCTGTTTAAGAGTGAAAGAGTACTCATGAAGGTGTAAGTTTCCGGATAATAGTCACATGAGTTCAACGCCAATAGTGCTGCTCTTTTTCTTCCCTTCACAATACGCAGTCGCCATCATCAGTATTGATACCGATACTTTACTGTTGCACGATCACAAAATCTATTTAATTAAACTTAAAGCCTTAAATTCAAAAGAAGACAAAAGGATGTGTGAATGAGGGTGCTGGTCAGTCGCAAGCATTCTGAAGTACCTATATCTCCGAACATTAAACTAAACAGTTTAGAAAAAGCGACAGCAGGAACGCCAGTGACGTCGAATAGCCACCATTTCTAATGTCTTCAGCAAAGTGCAGGAAGTTGGTGGGAAAGGGGATCCCATCCCGGAAGGCAGACCGTACCAATAATGCCTAAGCTCTTTATAATCTCTTTCTCACTCTTATGCTAAGTCATAAGTGTGCACCATTCTGAATTAGGCACGAAGAGCTGTGCTCGTCTCGGTAGATGGCATGCGTAACACATGACCGAGCCGCCACAGTTGATGGATCTGAATGTTTTCCACAACTAAAGTACCCATAACACAACTAAAGATCCGTTTTTTCGTTAATTTATTGTGCATTCCTTGAAGCCATTTGATACCAGCAACGCTTATGAGACATCTGTGGTAAAAAACTCAGAGATGCCTCAGACCACCTGCCTGTAGAGGCTATCGCCCTGCTGTAAACGATTCAAGTGATGAACGAACCTGCTACCCCCGAAATACGATTGCTTCGCATGGAAGTAATCGCATGGAAGACCTTAAGGATCTAGAGTACGCAGACGATATCGCGGTAGTTGGTTTGGACTCCAACCGGATGCAAATTCCACAAAACAATCCAAATAGTGTTATGCGGTATCACATTCGCCTTGAGCATTCAAAGTGCAAACTGTTATGGTACGACTGGGTGAGTGCATCACGTCAGACGTCAAAAATGCTGATGAATCGAATGCTAGAGTCACTTAGGCCCGCTCTGATCTGAAGTTCTGCAGTCAATGTGACGCCGATAAGTCAGTGAGAGACAGAGTTTGCAGTGTGACGGTATGCCAGGTATTGCTTTACAGCCGTGAACCTGGTCAATATGCGTTAAGACAACAAAGTGCTTGGGTTTAATCATCGGTGGATTCGAAGCATTATACATATATCGTGGAGCCATCGGGTTCAAAGCTCTGAAGCGCGACTAATGAACACTGAGAGCAAAGCTGTTTGTCTGCTTGGTGAATTGTTACGGCTGCATTAACTACGCTGGTCTGATCATGTACCTCATATGCCAGGTGGTCGACCGCCTCATCGCGCTGTTTGCTGAGGCGGATTCCGACTGGAAGACATTGCATGGCAGGGCATGAGAAACAATACAGCGGATCTTAGTTGTACTGGAAAATTTCGTCTGCGATGTTACAGTATCAGAGGCCCACGACATCAATGGTAAGGGATACTTGTCCGTACGGCGATGTCATACAACTCATGGTACTATTATATCCATCCCATTCTATTCTCTTGTTCTTACTTGTTTTCTGCAACTAGCAGTCTCCATTTATTTGCCACAAGAAACTGCAGCAACCCAAACATATTCACGAGGTCCATTACTGTCAAAATAAGCCAAAATATTCTACCACTGGGCACATGCGAGACAAGCTCATTTACGTGCACGTATTTATTCCGGAACTATGCACGTAGATACGCCAAACTAGTCACACGCTCAAAAGCATATCACATGCGATACAGCGGAGATTGCCATCTTCCAACCCTGGTGTGATTTGATGGGAATCCATGGTGTATGATCAGAGATGCATTGGCTTGGCGGGGGACCTGACGCTATAGGACGAAAAGATAGGGTTCTGGCACGCACTACCAATGGTCATTATCAGGTTAACCTGATTACCGGTTGGAAAACACTCGATACAAGCTAAAGGTGGATACGTGGTGTAGCTGTTTAACTAAGTGTTCTTCTCTTGTTAACAGAGGAGCATGAAGACGCCAATGGAAATCCGAACATGCCACCCATTGTTCTCTCTCCTCCCATACCATTATGATGTGATGGCCTACATAGCTTGATGCAGGCTTAGGAGGACAATTACCACCTAGGCTGATCATATTGCAACGTAGAATGTGAGCGATGGGAATAAAAACCCATCGAATGATTCACGAAAATTAAACTATGGACGGTATCAGCTGAAGTGATATATTGGCAGATGTGGTTGAAAGGAACAGTTTACCGAAATTCCACCCAACGCGAGTTCGTGAAGCAGTTGCAAACACTTGATGTGAATCGCATCGACGAAGAGTTCACTCAGCATCATGTGCTGTTGCATTTTATCTGCACAAACAGAACTAACCTTTGACGCCCAAGTTATGTAGAGGTGCGATCACATGTTGCATCAACGCATACCACTAAGTCTAGCAGCAGTGAATGATGAAAACATTAATCACGTAGACAATAAAAGCGGCCAACCCAAAATCCTGGTGATCTTGGGTGAACGCGACTAGTTTAGATGAGTACCAAGTAAAAGCCACTGAGTTGAGCGTTGTCAAGATTGCTAGAAAACCTAGCAGCCCTGCTAGTTGGTTGTACTTAGACCTGCTGAGCTGAAACAGCGGATGGCCTGACGGTAGATGACAGACTGAAACGAGCAAACATGAAGCTGAACGGTGTAAAATACTCGGAGTAGCATAAGCCCGAATCACTGGTCCATAAGTGTACGTCGGTAAGGGAACGTTGTTGAGCGTGACATTATTTGTGGTGAGGACACCATCGGCCACAATACATAGGAATACAGCACATCTATTCTTTACAGTAAACCGTGTGTATGAGTGCGCTGCGCGTCATGCAACTTTTTACGAGCCACACTTAGACAATGGAGAATTTCATTCGTTCACATTATAGCTCGTAAGGCCATGACCCCGGAGCATGATGAAGTGCATCGGATCCGGAACTATGAACTTCTGACAACCTGGGTACGTCCAACTGTTGAGATAGTGAGTACAACCCTTACGTCTCCCCAGAAAGTAGAAGCAAGATTATGTATCACCTAATCTCTGGCACACAAACCGTTTCTTGACTTAAGTGAATTGGAAAAAGTTTGGAACCAACCGAGAAGTCATCGTTTCAGAAGGGCTTGGTAAACAATTGGTAGTTTTTTATTTGGGCGACGTTTCGCTTTTGACACTTTCTTGAATTGTCAGATATGCACAATGAGCAAACGATGGTCACCCTATTACATACGGATTCAACTATCACCGCACCCTGAATTTACCTCCTAATTATGAAGATCTGCACGAACACCAGTCAATCTGAAGGCTGAAAGAGACGTGATCGATAACACCAAGGCGATGCATGAAGATAAGATTATCCGATCACCAGTAAGTGTGTGAGAAATGTGCCAAAAAGGACCCATGCATTGATGTCCTTGTTGTGCTCTACTCGTTGATCTTTGTCAATTATCTAAAGCACACGCCATCACGGGCAGTGGATCTGGCAACTGCCAAACGGGGACTTGTCAAGCTGAACATGGATGAGTCCACTGACGAAGGATATGCCTTCTCATGAACTTTTTAGGTCCAGATCGGTGTAATCGGCCGATATACAAAAGATCCCCAAAGTCATAAGGAGTGCAGCTACATAAAACACTTAAACGTGAAAACCGCGCTGCAGCAACAGACGTACCAAAAGACCAAAGATCGAGTAGCCGGCAAAAAATCTGTTTCTAGTATACCTAAGATGATAATTTGGAGGGATGTGATGAATCCTAAAACGGATTATATACCGACTTAAGTGTGTCTTTTTATGTCGTATGGATAAAGGCAATACCATACAGATCGATGTTCCGTAGCAAGGCGTGCATTATATGCCTGTACTAAATCTGGCCATTTTACTATGTTTAAATCACTCACTTTTTACAAACCCGCAAACCAGAGTGATTCCATATTCCTAGGAAATATGGCGAATGAAGGAATCGTTAACCGTTCAGATGAAATACCTCCTCGGTGCCTAGCTCCCATGCCACCCAAAGAAAACACGAGGACTGAGATATCGCCAACTTGTCCAGGCCTATACAGAAGTCGAGATGTCGAGGGTGGTTTCGATCCACGAACCTTCTTGTCTGTAATTTAGGCCCGAGCCACTGAGGTAGGTCAAGCCAGAATAAAGAAGACAGAGCAATCACTATCTGCGTAAACAACCATACTGTCATGCCGCTGGTTGTCAGACGTGACCAACTTTTAAACATGGGTTATTAGACCTGAATGCTGACCTCATAAATTGAGTTGGTTGGACCCCGTATAAGACTGAATATCCCAGTATCCTTGTGATATGGCGAAGCTTCATTAACAAATATTGATTTCTCTCAACCTATATGGAAAAAAGTATATAATAATAAAATAGAAATAAACAAGGATAATTGCAGAGCACTTACACTTGACGGACCCGAGAAGCGTGCTTATACGATTCCCAGCAAGACTCGAGTATGAGGACTGGTCGGTAGAAATAATATTATGGTCGGAGAGCGAAAGACCTGGAAGATTGATAGGTAGCCGAATACGAGACGAGTCAGTCGTTTGAACAATCGAATTTGTGTTTGACCATGATGACGGTGATGTGGACGTGGAGGAAGCAGGAACGGTTGCTGTTTGTGCGCTGGAATATCTCGCGTGTTGGGCTTGATTTCTAGCGTCCAGTCCGGCGATTAATGTAGACAGCGCAGTCGATGTAGAACTCATGGGTGCGAGAACCGCACCAGCTAATTGTGGCAGGGCCATTGTAACCGGCTGGGGACTCCGGACGGAAGATAACAGGTTGGGCAATGGGTTACCGTTCTCTTCAGGCTCGATGCCTGGGGAAATAGCTTCAAGAATGGGAGCCCCACTGGTGTTGGTTTCCATCAGTGGTGACGACGGTGACACATTTGATCCGGTTTGGTTCGTTGAATTCCGGGACATTATCACCGGATAATCACTCGGTACCAGCAGGTAAAGCTGCCGGGTGCTCCCATCGGGCGACTGGCCGAGTAAGGTCTGCTGTTCGCAAAAAGCAAATAAAGGCCTGATAAGAAGTGCGGATGTTTGAAAGGAACGATGCTACACATACAGACGATAGGTAAAACTATACATGTAATGGTGAGCTGCAATTACTCCAGAAACAGCTTAAGGGAGGGTGTGACCAGTTGAATTCAATGATAATTCCCCATCCCTGTGTAGTGTGCCGATTACCAACAAATAGCATACATTGTGAAATTATGACTTACTCGAGCCGAGTTCATAAATTCCCCGCTAGCCATTAACTGCTGCAGATCGGATGAACTCAGCAAAGATCCGGGTGCTGGTTGCAACGAGATAAAGGCGGTGGGTTGCGTCGAAACGGAGTCCGCGTTGGTCTCCGCAGACAACACCGGGTTTTCCGTCGACTCACCCGTCACAGCCGTGGTATTCGCACTAGATTGTGTAACAGGCGCCAGGGTGAGAAGTGTAGGCGTCGAAGAGGTCCCTAAGTGGCTCGGGGAGACGATTCGAGTATCATCCGAACAGTGTGAAACGCCGGTATCAGAGGTCACCGGAAGTATGGAGTTCTGTGGCAGCTCAACGGGTGTGTTGGATGCAGAACGTTGTTTTTGGGTTTCTCGTATCAATGCTGCCAGACCTATGGGAAGAGAAAATAAATCACAAAACGAAGTTTACACCAATGTGAAATAACTGCGGACTCCATTGAGTGGCAGCTCCCAATCCGAACATATTTAACACGCGACCGTCCCTCGTAGGCCCACTTTGTACTACTTTGAGGGGGCAAAATTCTAGTACCTATGATACCAGAACATGCAGATTTTCATTAAATCACAGTTTCCTCTAACCGGGTTAACAAATAGGATGACAGTAGAGCGGTTGATTCAGTGTTCTGAAAAGTTCAATTTCAAAGCTACTAACCTTGAACGTTTAGCACTGCTCTAGTGACAGGCGTTGATCCGTTAAGTTGTGAATGGGGGGAGGTAGACGTAAGTGTTCTGAAAAGCATAGGAGGAGAACCTCCTGGATTTGAATCAGCCCCGTGGTCCACGGTCAAAGTGACCAATTCAGTGGTTGTCTGAGGGAGGTCTATCGTCGGTTGAGTAATGGCTGCTGAAGTTCCATCCCCGCTGTTGCCACTGCTGCTGCTATTTGTAGTGGAGGTCGTACTGTCAGTTGCGAATGCTGTCCTGACCAGCCACTCCTTCTCGAGCATAGTGCTAGCAGTGGCTAGTGTCACAAGACCAGCCGATTCGGGAGTTTCACGTGATGCCGCCACTGATGAGGCTGTGCCTGGAGAATTAAGTGCCGCAGCAGCAGCCATAGCTGCCACCGAACCCAACTGACCAGGCGCGATGAATGATATGAAAGATGAGTTGGAACCGGAAGAAGGAGCTGAGATGAATGAGGACGAAGATGATGAAGAGTCCGTTTCTGTAATATTATGTCCGGGCGCGACGTTGGGATGGTTGTTATTGTCGATGCAACCACCAGTGGTGATATTGTCACCACCACCTCGACCATCGGTAAGTAAAGCATGACCAGATGCGGCTGTGTTGGCAACTCCTGTGTTTTCCCGACCGCTGCCATTGGTCATTGTGCGTAGTAGTCGGGGCAGGACACTCATGGCACTAGTGTCAGCTTGCTGTACCAAGTGGACGTCTGAGTTTGGCGAAGACTGACGAGGCACTTTGAGCTGTGAAGGCAAGAAAGAAAGATGTGCGTTGAGGGGAACTGTGCATGAAGGTGCACTATCCCCATGCGGTAGACTGTGCTACACAGAGCTACAGGCAATCGTATAGACTCATATTTTATTGGGAGGTATCTTTTCGTAGGCCCATTGCTCAAAATACGGACACTTGGGATCAGACAGAACCACCGAACCACCCGAAATACTACCTCCTGCTTACTGATGACAAAAAACAGCTGATTAAACCAGCTCTGAAAAACAGCGAGAGTTCACTGAGAACTCGGAGTTCGCATTTCTCACGCAAGCTACGTGATTTCCACGGATACCCCAGATAACTTATACGAAGAACATAAACTACCGGAATATGTAAGCCGCGCTGCTCGCCCTGCACGCAGGTCCCTTCAGAGAGCTCGTTCCCCAAAAGAATTATCTGAGTAGACAAAGATCAGAGACTTAATAGTCGAGTCAGAAAGCTGCTGTGATGCGATCTTCATCGACCAGAGTAACGTAGCGGTCAGGAAAGATGCTTAGATAGGAAGTGACAATTCAATAGACACGAAGCACATGCACCCACCAGTACGGTAACCGAAGCATTAGCTCCAATGATTGATGAGCAGTAGTGCTAGCTTATGGTCGAGAGTCCACAGTTTTAAAAGGACGTGGCTACCGTTTTGGGACCTGAATATGAAAATAGCGTGCCTAATACCTCATCAAGTAGAACAGATGTTCTTGAGGAACGCAGTAATCAGCAATACAACCAGCAATACAATCGCTGGTTATCAGGATGGTCATACAGTTTTGTAGACTTGGAAAACGGAAATATCTCAAATAAGAAAACTTAGTCTCTCAATCGCGATGTTTTTCGGGAAAAATGTCTTAGAACCCAGGTGAGGCAAACCAAAATTGAAAGTGCCAAGTTGGATAGAACTGAATGTGTGGAATCAAGAATTCAAGGATAAATACTTTAACTACATAAGGTTTGGGTGGTGATTTCGCATCCTAGCTTTATGCCATCCAGAGATAGCTAGGCAACTAAACTAGATACAGGCTACTTGGGTAATCAACACAGAATGAAACGCTGAAGACTAAGCTGCCACTGATAGACCGGCTGAAGCCTGAAAATGAGAGCAGTGTAATGACAACAAAATCGTTCAGCTGTAACACCCTTTCGGTGCCTAGCTGTCATGTCAGCCGAAGGAAGTACGAGGGCTGGGATACCATCAGCTTGCCCAAGCCTATACATAAGGAGTCAAGATGCAGATGTCGGATTCGAACCACGGACCCTCCGGTGAGTAAATTCGCGCTCTCACCACTGAGCTATCTTGCAAACGGCCAAGGGAACTTCAGCTGAAAATAAGCAGCGAGAAAGAACTCACAGCAATCATTTTGAGATCGTCATTTCCAAACTCCCCTTTGTCACGTTTGTACTTTCCATGACTGAAATGAGACGAAGAGTGAATGCCAATACTTAGAATATTGGTGAAAACAAAGGGAATGATATCAAAGAAAAGTTCGAGGTTTTTAGCATGTTTACGTAAAGATGTTGAACGGTCCATTGACAGAACGAGTGCACTGGATAATCATCTGGGTTGTTTCTTTGATACGCAAATTCAAGAAATGACTTGATATAAGGATTCCTTTTGCATTTGTGTCCCTTCCGTTTGGGGAAACAGCGACCCTGGCGGAACCGATGGTGAAACAAGTGTGGGTTCCCGAAATGGACAATATATCAACTAGACGAGCTGTAACAACTACAGCGTCATTTGCCGCAAACAGAAATTACTCACTCACGCAGATGACTGAACAACCGAGCCATGTAGACAAAGATTGCACAGTTCCGTTGTGCTCAGCAGTTGAGAACACGTACTGAAATCACAGCGATCAGTAACGATTGTAGGATACCTCATAAAACCGTGGTATAACGATGGCTTTGGCCGCACATTATGGGGCTATTGCCGTTCAGATATTTGACTACCCAGGCTGCCTTCTTTTCTACATTGTGATTTTTCATTGCAAAGTGAATAAGACATTTCCGTGACCCACGATGAAACTAACACAGCCTGCCACAAGACAGCGAGGCCCGAAAGACCTCGAAGCGTCAGTCAACTGTGACCGAAAATTACGCCAATTGGATGGACATCGCGAGCCATATGCGAAGCAGACGAAGGCGTGCACTGATTGGTCAAAGTGCCAGTCAATGAGGATCGAGCGTCTACACCTTGGCGTTTCTTGCCCCTCCACGAAGATTCTAGCGTGATAACCCTAGAAACACCACAAAGGAGAGATTCAGTTGGTTTCCTCATGAGTAGTGCATTACGATTATGCATGTGTCGCGATATACCGAATATCGCACATACTGAAACATGAGGCGGCCTGGTGCAGCACATTCAGTAGCTTAGAAACACCATAAACGAGAGACTTAGCTATGTTCCAGGTGAACCTTTAGCAAGACCAAGTTTGTTTGCATATCAGTATATCTCGCTAATAACGGTTGTAATAACTTTTCTGTATCAAGCTGCCGTGCCTTTTGATATACTACAGCGAGTGGAATAGCAGGCCAAGGAGCGTCACAGGAGTTGCAATACCATCCGAAGACGCAACACACCTACAGTGCACGACTGTCAACTGCATGATGCACTACGATCAATATATTAATGGCTTGCTCAAGGGTAGACAGGAATACTCGCACGCGATCAGAACCTTTGACTTATGAGCGACAGAGGGCAAGCCCATATGCACAAGCTGCCCTGTTGTTAGCTATTCGCCCAAAGCAGAAATATTCGATCCAATCTGGGGAATTCACCCAGACTGCTCTCCCCTTTTCATGCACACATTTGACACAGGTGAGGGAGACTCATTTTGAGTAGGGGTTTGACAATGAAAAGTGAAGAGATCAAATCGCTTAGTAGCCGCACCCCTGCGACATCTGACTGCCATTCAACCTGCGGGCGAAGGAATATTTCCAGATTGCTAGAGCATAGTGAAGAGCAACTGGACTCGAATAACCAACCTCCTGCCAAACATCAAACCCAACACCGAATGTAAAACTCGAGAGAAACGCCTCAGGTGTAATAGAAAAATATAAGAAATGGGTAAAAAGTGGCAACAGTCCGCATGCTGAGCCAAGTTCTCATAGTACTGATTGTGTCAGTTTGCCACTTAAAAAACTGGAGACGGTTGAAAAATAATGAAATATTTAGCGCTTGCATCCTGGTAAAGTACTGCACTCTGAAAAACCACCGATGTGCTCCCACTGTCTGTTCTGCACTAGGATCAACTTGAGGCGACTCGATTGATAGTTCAACACAGTCCAGCGTGATGTAATGTTCGAGCGAACCGTATGAAGTGCATATACAGAGCATACCGAAACTTGGCTACAATGTATAGTCGGTAATCAGATCAGAATGAACACATCGTAACATATTCAAACAAGGGGTTTAGATAAAGCGTCGATTGCAAAACGTACCATCAGCGCGCAGTCTTTTGTGCAAAAGCACAATCAATATCTTGACACCACGGTGGCATACTGCTCAAAGGCGGAAGCTTGCGTTTGAGTTAGTGGATCGTTGGGGCTAGAGTCTGCTACCCAGGTAAACGAACTTATCCACTACATTGATTAGTTTCAGTTTGATCTATCCAATCTTGCAGCACCAGTGTGAACTTTACAAATGCAAAGCACATCTCAAACTGTGCAGCAGAATCATTTAGGTTATTTAAAACAGTTTTTTCTTCAAAGGTTCTGGTCCGAGAAGAAGAACATCATTCGCTTACTCAATCTGTGAGCACTGGTCTGGTGGTATTTCGATTTCCGAGGTGTTAGAGGTAAAGGTTCAAGACGCGTATCAAATAAGTTGAAGAAAAAGGGGCCGCAGAGCGCATCTTTGCTTGAAACCATCTTCGGTGACGGACTAATGTTGACGTTCCAAGATAGTTCAGTTAACCCTTCCTGAGGTTGTGTTGACAGGGCCCTGCTGAACTGTTAATCAAAGTTTTACATATACACTCATTTGCATACCGATTTAGTTTTTAGGAGACTTATCTTAAACACAGGCGAACCCCTCTTTTACAACGCTCTTCGAAGTGTTCAGCCCATCGTTCAAGACGGCCTTTCTGTGAATGGATTGAGGTCCCATCCTTTTCTGAGATCAATTAACTAACACCCGCCTTCCTCAGACCGGTGGATCGAACTAAGTGAAACAGCGTGCGATTGTTCCCTGTTGCAAAAAATTTCATTTCCCGGGCTTTTGCTTTCCACCAGCGTTATCTGATAATCCTCAGGTGTTTGCTGATACAGCTTTCCTGGCTTTATTCATAGCTGTAATCAGGATGACATCCAGCGTTCACTGGAGTGTCTGGTAGACGAGTCAAATGCTGTGAAAGTGATTCATCCAATCGTGACCCAAACCACCATTATAACCACCGGCTATGGGAGCTTCTCAGCGAACTCAACTCGATAGTATTGAGCTGGTGAACTGCCTTTTTATCAACCGGCGAGTCCCAGCGGGAAAGCGAACGGATACACATGCCCTCACCATGCCGTGATCGGATCATCATCATCATCAATGACAGCAACATCAGTGTTGGCACTGATGCTTCACTGCCGTGATCGGAGTCAAGTGGGCGACAATCTTGTACGGAAGCTCTCTCTGCTACCTGGTTCCAACTGCGTCTACGCCTGGTTTATAGTTGGTGGCACCTAAGTCAAACGGTGTGAGTACTTGTGCTGGAATTTTGTGCAGGCTAGAGACAAATGTTCAGCACATAACTGAATAAGTCCCTCCGCATTATCTGTACGATGAGCATCAATCCCGAGTCGGCTGCCAAGATGGGCTTCATCAGGACTTAGTCGGCCAACAGGAGTATTCATATCATCCGCCAGAATGACCATAGCTGCGCTTCTCGCTGACCGGAGTAGCCGAAACAAATCTCTATAGAAGCTGTCTTGCTCCATATCAGAGCTGCCGTCTGTCGGAGCGTATGCTGACACAACAAAACACCAGTTACTGCGTCGAGATGCGTTGGTCTCGAGAATCAGCAAAATTAACAGCAAAGACGACTGTTTACTGGTATCCAATCTAGTAAGGAGCATTCAGCACAACTCCCACACCGTATAAACCACGAGCCATTGCACCAGGATTACCGGAAGAGTGGAGTGGAGAGATCACCGGAAGAGTGGAGTGCGGGAAAACTGCGTTTGCTCCGAGCGGTTTGAGATAATTGCGTGGGTGCTTCGGAGAGGCAATGTACATCAATCGAGAGGCCAAGGTATGGCTAATTTGGTGCACAGTACGAATGCTAAAATCAGTAATATGGAACAGATTCATTGAATTCAATTAGGGTTTGCTTTTATTCATTTCACCGGGCAGAAGCTCAGATAAGTAGCGACGGTTAGGTGACGCCAAATGAGTCGGAATGACGTGTGGAGTAGAGTTAGTGAACGAAGAGCTGCTAGAATGAATGATACTTCCCGGTTGCCCAAGCCGAAAAAGCGGGTTTGGTTGAGGTACCCACCTTGTCTTTGACTGAAAAGTCTGACCAACAAGGCAGTGAGAGGATGTAAGGTTTTGTTCGGGGACCCTACACCTACCCTCTGATGCAAAAGTCTAAAGCGCGAGACAGCGTATATTCGAGCTTTCTTGAGAGACCTCTTCCCAAGCCAATGGCTCAATATTCTGACCCACTTGGCTGAAGAAGGGGGGCGCAAGGAGTAAGGCATAAGTGACTGCTAACGCGGCTGCGACTGCAAATGTCTTTTGAGCAGCATCAAACCCTGATTTTAAAGACATTTCGAATGAATAATGCACCGGTGGTCATGGTCAACCGTTGGGCGATTGGAGTGTGAGGTTTTTAGGGCCGAACTTTGCCAACCCGTCGTTCCTCGGAGAAATGCAACATTATTTGTTCCATATATATGAATATGCTGGTCGCCTGAAGGAAACATCTTACTGCCGTCACACTCCTATCGCAGAGGACAGTACAACTTTACCTCTAGACCACCTATACATATGACCTCTCGCAGTACAGAGACCCGTCGTTCTTCGTTTTACTGTTCCCCATTGGCCTTCCTGAAATGGGTGAACCTTAAGAAACTGAGTTTCCGCCAGTATAGCCCTCAGGATCATTGCGGCACAGAAACCCAACCGATAAGGCAAGGTGATACCTTCCGGTAAGGGCTACCAACAAACACCAGAAATTCGTAAGCTTCCCGGACCCTGTGTACATCATCATCATCATCATCATCAAAGACAGCAACATCAGTGTTGGCACTGATGCTTCACTGCCGTACAACAGTGTACAGTCAAACCTGCTTCAGCAGCATTTCCAAATCAGTTGCTGTGCATAATTTATCTTTTCCAGTTTTCCTGTACAAAAGTAGAGTAGTGACATGACAACAGAAGAGCAGGGCCAGAACAAAGACATCGAACAAAAAGTGGAGG